ATCAAACCCAGCATGGTTAAGTTCTTGAGGCTTATACCTTGTAATAGCTTGTTCTTGCATTGCTATAAAGAACTACTTGAGACTGGGTAATTTACAAAGAAAAGAGGTTTAATTGACTCACAGTTCCACAGGCTGTACAGGAAGCATGGCAGGGGAGGCCTCAGGAAACTAACAATCATGGCAGAAGGCAAAGGGGAAGCAGACACATCCTAAATGGCTGGAGCAGGAGGAAGAGAGTAAAGGTGGAGATACTAAATGCTTTTAAACAACCAGATCTCATGAGAACTCACTATTGCGAGGACAGCAAGGGGGAAATCCACCCCAATGATCCAATCACCTTCCTCCAGGCCTCTCCTCCAACACTCGGGATTACAACTGGACATAAGGTTTGGGCGGGGTCATGAATCCAAACCATGTCAGCCTTTATCCACTACAGTATACTATATAGTTGACCCTTGAACAACACAGGTTTGAAGTGCTTGGATCCACTTATGTGGATTTTTTTTTCAACCAAACATAGATCAAATATTGATGGGGTGAAACTTGCATATAGGAAGGCTGCTGTTATATAGGTGGGTTCTGGTCCCATAGAGTCCACTGGACTTAAGTAAACATGGATTTTGCTATATGGGAGGGGGAGGTGTCCTGGAACCAATCCCTTGCATATACTAAGGGGTAACTATATTTGCCAAATATACTGGGGAACCTCAAATCTTTTTTGGATTTAGGAAGAATAAAAACAAGTAAGTTATATATGCCTGAAATTAGCAGTATTTCCCTATAAAGAACCTTTGGATTGCCATCACAGCTGCCAATTCATTTCTGATGGGCTCATGGGGAGACATGGAATGAGATTTCATCCTACATACATTTCTAGCTCATATCCTCAGTCAATCACGAGAACTTAAACACAAAGTTATGTGCATTTTGAAACTTAGCAGTTAAACGACAACAAAAAGGTTCAGAGTATCTCTTTATATATACCAATGTCTGTAGTTACTGCTCCCTTTACTTCTTTTTTCTTGGTGAGGGCAATTGTTTTATATGTTTAAAGAGATAGATGTTATTACCACTATAAGTTATTGCATGCTCTATGGCCTGGTTTTAGAATTAAGTTGAGCTTGTGAGGGCAAAACTAAATCTATTTGGATTTGGATTATTTAATTTAGAGCCAGGATTACATCTTTGACCACTTGTACAATGTTGGGTATGCTGTCACAGCCCAGAATATTTAACCACAATAAATGTGCTAGTGAACTGGCACAGAAGTTACCTAGATTGATGGATCTCATTTGATGGCCTATATTATTCAACTCCAGTGGAAATTAGAATTCATTTCTAAAGGGATCTCATTTATTTAACTTCAATCTTAAAAAACTGTCTTTCTTTTAGTTAGTTATATTTTTTTTTTCTCATTTGTTTTTCTTTTTTAAACACAATATTCCTTTGAGGGGGAGTTAAAGGATTTAACTTTCTCTGGCAGCATGCCAAATAGAAAACCTACTATCATCAATTTTCTTTCCAATAAAAGATGATTCTCAGAGTGGGAGTGATAATTCTCCCCAGTCTAACCTCAGTGTTGATGAGATTTTCAAATGCTACTAAATGAAGCAGAGTCTAAATTGGGATGGAGCAAATTTTAATTGGTGACAAATAAAAATTAGACCACTATATGTGATGATAACCAAACAAGGAAAAAAGAAAAGTTTAAAATCAAACAAAAGGATTGATTATTTAAGGGCATGTTTCCATAAAGTGGACGATTGTAGCCCTTTTCAAAATATGTCATGGGAAAAAGAAGCAGTCCCTGTACTGCTCCACTCCCAATTGCATGTACTTGAGGAGCTCCAGAACCACTTGGAAAAGGATCAAGCAGCAACTCAAACAGTTGCCTCATTCAGTTTTTCACAAACTTTTAAGAAAATGGTTGACACAATATTTTAAGAATGTGCTGAAAATAATGTCTTCTCTCTATAAAAGTACATGAACATAAAATCTTCATGTAATTTCAGAAGGCTTAAGATTCACTGAAGCCCATCTGTGGATCCAGGGGACTCAGATTAAGAATGATATGGGTCTCAGGGACATGATTTATGCTTTAAATCATGCAGTCCAGAACACTGGCCAAGCAAAATGAACTAGTAGTACAATTGCAATGGAATTGTTACCAATATTAACCACTGCATAGCTATAGTTTTCTGAATTTCAAAGTGCTTTCTCACAGATGAACAATTTGATGTATCAGCCCAGAGGGCCAGCTAGGTAGATTAGGTGAGAAAAAGGGAGTAACAATGAGTACCTATTCTGTGCTGTGATGCTTATTAACGTCTGATATCCTACTAGAATTGTTTTCAATAAATAAAAATCTTCCATCATAAAATATAAATACCCTTCACTGGTGAATATTGAATACTTATTAGAGCACTTCTAATAAAAACCAAAATACTTAGGTTTTGAAGGCATTAAGAAGGCACCTAGATCTACATTTCTGCAAGTTTTTCTGGTGGTGGGGGAGGTTAGTGGGGGTGTCACTAAGACTATTTCAGGAAAGTACATGAGGTTCTCCCTTTGCAAATTTATACATTGCATGAGTCTCGATTTTCTTCATATACTTCAACCAAAACAACATATTGCAACAGATTGGATGCAGAAGCAGATATGAGAATCCAGCTGTCTTCTATTAAACCAGCCATTAGGGAGATTTATAGAAGTGCAAAAACAATGCCACTCTTCTTACTAATTTTTTGTGTTTGTTTTGGAAAGCAGAGTTATGTAAACTTGTAATGCATGTTTTATTTTAAATGAATTTACTTTTTTTCTATTTTAATTTCTAAATGGTAAATATCAATGGATATGACCCACATAAATAAAAGTTCTTTGGTGTCCTCACCAAATTGTAAGTGTTATGGGGGTCCAGATACCCAAAAGTTTGATAACCTGGCAAGTCTGAGAAGACATATTGGGGTGGATGAGCAAGAGAAGGGGTGGGAGGGGTGTGACAGGAACTGATGAGGGCACTGTGTGTCTCGTCTTTGGAACAGGGTTCCTTGAAAGGTACTAAAAGTGGACAGGGGAGGATGCAGTCCAGTCAACCTCATCACTTTGCTTGTGGCCTGTTCTTAACGCAGCTCTCATGGAAGCGCAATTTATAGAAAGCGATCTTAAGAAACAAGAAAGTGGAGTTTAGACTCCTAAAATTAGGAAAGACAACTGCAATTTGCTTAGTGAAAAACACGGAAGTTGCCTCTTTCCAGAATGGAAAACATTTTTGGAGTGCTGGTCGCTTTTTTTTTGCCAGATGATATAAGATTTGTTAATTATTAGATTTTTGTAATACTTATTAATACATTTTTCTCTTATCTTTTGTGGTTTTTTAAAAAAAAAAACTTAAAAGGGGGTAAATTGGCAGGAGATACAGGGAAAGCCTAAATGTATTCCCCAGAAAGTATATTTTAAATTTTAACATTTACTTACTGAGAGGTGAGACCAGCAGAACTTCCTGGGTCGAGCGCAGACTTGAGGAACTTTCCATCTTACAAGAGGATTCTAAAACACATCAATCAGCGCTCTGTAAAACGCACCAATCAGCAGAATCCTACAAGTAACCAATCGTGGGGAGGATTGAAAAAAGGGCACTCTGATAGGACAGAAACGGGCAACATGGGCGGGGACAACAAGACAATAAAAGCTGGCCACCACCAACCAGCAGCTGGGGTCCTCTTCCACATTATGGAAGTTTAGCCCTTTTGCTCCTCACAATAAACCTTGCTACCGCTCACTGTTTGGGTCCCTGCCATCTTTCAGAGCTGTAACACTCAACGGGAAGGTCTGCAGCTTCATTCTTGAAGTCAGGGAGACCACGAACCCCCTGGCAGACACCAATTCCAGACACATTACTAGGCACTAAGCATTGTGCTAGAGAGTTTGCTGTGGTATAGGGGAAACATTCTTGACTTTGGAATGAGAAAAACTGTTTCAAACAACTTACCTGCCATGGGTAATTTATTCTCTCTCTTTTAGATAAAACATGGATAATATTTATCTCACAAGGATGTTTGGGATTAAAAAGTGATAACCTATGTCAATAGGACAGCATGGTGCAGTGTAGGTCTTCAATGAATAGCATGGAGAGTGCTTACAAAGGGCAACGATAAAATCTAATAAAAATAAGACGTTGTAGACAAACACTTTAAAAACACAGGGCGTAAGGTATGATGTGCCAGCGTCACTACAGACGTACTTAGAAAAATGTTCTGGGGATCTATGTAAAGGAGGACTCCCATTTGTTGGAATGGGGGAAGTGCTTTAGGGAAACTGCAGCGTGATGGGCGAACCCTCCTCTCAATATATCTACCTCGAAAGTCGGCTCCAGCACTGCTGAGCATCCTGGCCCAGCTGCCCCCGACCCAGCGTGAGATGTTAAACCTCTTGGGGCTTCCAAGCCAGACTGGAGGGGCTCTGCACAAGCCTTGCTCGACTCATTCCGGGCACCTTGAGCGTGGGAGTCCACACTGCCCCCTGACCGACCAGCTGCCGCGTTGGCCGCACTAATTTGCGCCCGCCCGCACTCCAAGCTCGGCGCCGACCGCAAGTGCAGACGTGGGGGTACGGGATAGAGGAAGGAACTCATAAGTTCTCAGCTTCAGACCATCCACGCCTCCGCCAACATGGAAGCACCTTCAGCCTCCCAACTTGTACCCACCCCACCCGCTGGGCCAGAGCCCAGGCCTCGGACAGCGACCGAGCTCCTCCACCCACCCCGCGCTCCAGCCCCTGGGCATCCAGCGGTCGGCGTTCGCGCGCTCTCTCATCGATTGGCGCTGCCTTGCTCCTTGGGCTCCAGTCGCGGGGAAATCGGCCCCAGACTTGGAAAGTCCAGCGGAGCGCGGGGCGGGAACCGAGGCAGGCGGGCCAGGGGATTGCCGATCGCACGGATGGGCGCGCGCTCCGTCTGGCGAGTGGCGGCGCCGGCTAGCCCGAGCGGCGCGAGGCCAGAGTCCCGCGTCCGCCACCCCCTCGCCTCGCGCCGCCGCGCGAGCTCCTTGCCCTTGCCCCCAGGAGGTTCGCCCCGCGTGGGGCTCTCGCACCGTCCGGGGTGGGAGCAGGCGAGCCGGAGGGACGAGAAAGGAGGGAGCGCGCGCGGGCGGCGGCGGCCCCTCCCCTCCTCCTCCCCCTCCCGCCGCCGCGGAGAGCGCAGGGAGCAGCCGGGGGCTCGGCGGCGGCGGCGGCGTCTACCCCCAGCTCCTCCTTCCTCCCTCCTCCTCCATCTCCTCCTCTCTCTCTCCATCTGCCGTGGTTATGGCCCGTCGCTGGAGCACAAAAGAGTCTCCGCGGTGGAGGTCTGCGTTGCTCTTGCTCTTCTTCGCTGGGGTGTACGGTAAGTGTCCGCGTCCCCGCGCCCCGCTGACCGAACAAAGCTGAGGCGACCCGGGCCCTCGAGGCCTCCAGGACTGGGGTTCCCCTGGAGACTCCGGCGGAGAGCCGGGCTGCCGGCGGGACAAAGACCGGCGAGGGGGTGGATGTGGCGGAACGGGTGTCCCCACACGGAGATGCTTTCCTCCACTCGCCCACCTTCAGACTCTCGGGTGGTGGAGAGGGGCTGGGGGTCCCGGCCGGGAGGGCCCCGGCGGAGCGAGCGGGTGGCGGGAGGACTTCCCGACCTGCGCTGGAGGGCCCCCGCGGCCAGCTGCTCGAGGACCCATAGCCCGGCACAATCCACACACAAAGATGTATGACTGTGAGAAAGCAGAGGAGGTCGCCCCCGCCGCTGCCGGGACGGTCCGCCCCCCCGCCCCCACCCGGGGTTAGGAAGTTCTCTCACTGGTGAGATTCCCACCGCACCAGTCCTTTCCCTACCCGAGTCCCTGAGAAGGCTCCCTGCTGACTTCTCCCCACCCCTCCACCTCGCGGGCAAGGGCTCTGCCGAATCCGGGCGTGCAGGATCCTGTTGGTTTCCCGGGAGCAGCACGCGGGAGAAGGCCAGAAAATAGTTTCCAGCCCCACCTCAGTCTCTCGCTCTTGGGGTGTCCTGGCTCCCAGTTCATTTGTAATTTCATCCATCATCGTCCGCCGCTCTGGTCACTGTTACTTTATTCCAGTCGATGGATCGGGTTAAGAGAAGGCTGAAGACTGTGTGAGGACAGCTTTGTATTGCGTTGGGGTCTGAGCAAGAGCTGAATGGAATTAATTGCAAAGAACATTTATCTCTTAAGATAAATGAGTTCCACTTCTGACTTCACCGTTCTTAGTTCATCAGTTAAACACATTGAATAGGTATTTCAGAGAGCTCAGTTTTAACCTTTCCTTTTTGGAGTGTTGCTTTGATTTCCTCAGAAAAAGATTAGAAGTTATCATTACTTTGGTAAATTTTACTTATAAAAAGTCTAAGTCATTTGCCACAAACACTGATTTGACTAGTATAATGGTGGTGGTAGTGAGGTTTAGTCAACAGCCAATTTGTCAGCAAGTATTATCTTTTGAACGCATTTATCTACGGAATTGAATGTGATGGTGGCAAGTGACTAAATGAAGAATTAATGAACGTAATTGGGCATTTACCGACAGCCAAGAAATAGTAGTCTTTTTGGTACAATTCAGGGTGTGTTCCTCCCGTACCTGATTAATAGTATTTTTGTTTGTTTTGGTGAGGAGAGTGGTTTGGTCCATTTTTTATGTAGAGGTAATTGCCAAAGGTGTGCTTGTGTGGGACCAAAAACCCAGTGCACGACTTTTGATAGTTAGCTGCTTCAAGTGGCTGTGATCCCTGCTTGCCTGATGACTTGTGGGTTTGGGTCTACACCAGAGATCAATAAGCTATTATGTTGTTTCTTCTGGCCTGAAGGTGGATATAGTTCTGCTCTAGGTTTGGTATAATGGCCCAGGAGAGAGAAGAAATTGAGAGGTATCTTTAATTTGGGGTGATTAGGATTGTCCAGCTTTGTCCTTTGCTATAATAAGAATTGAATTTCTGTGATGTCTGATCAGAATAGATAAATAAATGGGCTCTTCTTTCATTAAAACCTGTGTCATCAGTGTTTGAACTACAAGTCTTTTGCCTCGAGGGATAAGAGGCTGTGAACCCCTTAATTTGTTTTGGTGCATTCTTTAGTACTTGTACACAAAGTGACTTTCTGGTGGGTGCTTATCAAAGCTTTATCTTTTTGGAATTTGTGTTCAGTGAGGAATTGTTAGTAAGCAAAGACTAAAACTCCTTTTTCCAACAGTGTGGGCCCAGATTATAAAACCAGCAGGTGATTATGCCAAAGGTGGTTGTCTCAAGCCACAGCAAGTTTCAAAGTGTAAAAAAAAAAAAAGGAGGTAGTGAACCAGGCAGAACATTAAACTGTATCAGCAGAGATTAAAGGGAACCCTTCACCCTGGAACTGAGAAATCCTCTTTATAGCTGCATGTTTTTTGTCCTCTTCTGTCTCTAACCATGTGTGGGTTTATAATAGTGAAAAAGGGCTATAACAATAGTATGGGGGGATGTGGTTCTGTAACAATAGCGGGAATTGGGTAACTTAGAATATATAGTAGTTGTAATGGGTAGTGGATGCATCCTGAGAAATAGCTATCGTCTTGAACCTCTTAGAACAGATACTAGCTGTAATTTGTGAAACTGTCCCCTATACAGTAAAAAGTGTGTGTGTGTTTTAAATAGCTTCAAAAACAGTTAGGTCTATTAATGAAACTGAATATTCAGAATCGCTGTTAGCAAAGAAAAGCAGGTTGATTGGCCAATATTTGGGGAATTCCAATATTAATTCTTCACAGAGTGACTCTTGAAAATGAAATGACTCTAAGGTGTGCTTCAGATTTTTGAAACATTTCACATACATAAAAACTTTTTTTTTGTTTATTTTGGTACTACTCTCCAGATGACGATTTTTATGGGCTCTGATATGTGACTGTTATACTTCCAAATTAACTTGTCTGAATGCCAGTCTTACCTGAAACTCTAAATTGTAATCTAGAATATAAAGTTTTCCAGAAGTAGTTGTTCAAGGACCTGTAATTATCTTTCAGGGGCTACTGTATCTTAACTGCATTCAATGTGCCTAAGAGTTAGGAGGAGAGAGTAAAGGTTGACCTCTGCCACCTTTGGAAGTTTGAAGGGATAAAAATGTCAGTAGTGACAACCACAAGCTTTGCAACGCATTGTCCTAGGCTTACTGTAAGAGGAAAAAGTACTTTGTCATTTTTCACATAGGGATGTCTGGCTTTTACAAATCTATGGGAGTTTCCAAAACCTCTGTCTCCTAGTCAGTAGAAGCTGTTAGTCTTGCTAACCTCCTAAACCACAAGTTGGTAATTCTGACAGTTCCATTGCTTTATCCTTTCCACTTCTGTTTGTCTCCCAGATTAGTGTTTCCTAACTTTTACTCAAACCTACCCTTAAAATACACATTGCTTAGGGTACTGTGTACATAGAGAAAAAAGTTAATGAAACCATACTCTTACTACCTGTGCACTCAGATGTTTTCTGTTTATTCTTCCTCTTTCTCACCCTTCCCTTCTTCATTTGCTGGTCTGGACTCATTAAATTAATTTTGGATCCACTAATAAATTGCAGTCCTTAGCTTGAAAAACACTACCCAAAATGAAGCCTTAGAATGTAGTTTAGAGGCCAGGCGTGGTGGCTCAGGCCTGTAATCCCAGCACTTTGGGAGGCGGAGGCAGGTAGGTCTCCTGAAGTCAGGAGTTTGAGACCAGCCTGGCTAACATGGTGAAACCGTCTCTATTAAAAATATAAAAATTAGCCAGGTGTGCTGGCGCACGCCTGTAATCCCAGCTACTCGGGAGGCTGAGGCAGGAGAACCTCTTGAACCCGAGAGGCGGAGGTTGCATGGTTGTACTCCAGCCTGGGTGACGAGTGAAACTCTGTCTCAAAAAAAAAAAAAATAATAATTTAGAGTGTTTGTTGTTTGTATATCATTTTACAGTAACCTTGAAGAGTTGCAGATGGTTATTTTTTGGTTACTTGATGCCAGAGCATTTGATAGCTGTAGAACTGTTCCTAGCATATACTGATTGACTTGTGATAAAATTCATTTTTAAACTGGTTTTCAGCTTATTACAGTAAAGAGTCTTTACTGTTCTCAGTAGTATTCTAGATGTTGTGGTAGCCTAAAATAATCCTTTTACTCTTGCATATATGTAATGGATGAATCTTTTCCCATGAATTTTATGGAATGTTCAGTAGCACTTAATAACTGGTTTAAGGGTAGACAAGAAATTCCAATTTTAGAAAGGTTATAGAAGTAACTGAAACATGAGGGAAAAATCTAAACCAGATACCAATTACTTCTTACAAAGTCAAGTTTGATTACATAAAATATGTTGAATAAAATTGAATTAATTGCTTAACATAAACCCTTCCTTGAGTTCAGAATCTAAATTATATCCATATCCTTGGGAGAATATGAAGGTAGGCAGCACATTCCACAAAATTCTAGGTGGTTATCAGGCAGAAAGTATTAAACAAGCACTGTTAGCTGTATTCCAGATACAGTATGGAGGAGATTTGAATGATGTATAGTAAATGATTTATAAGGTTCCTAGAAAGTAAAATTTCTTTTGAAGAACATAAAAGGGATTTTAGCCTGAAAAGTGAGCAGCAGTTAAAGAAAACGTTAAGATTTACTTTTGTAGTTAGAAAATTTAAAGCTTATTAAATTATTAAAGGAGCAAGAGGAGCTTTTTGTGTGTCTGATATGAGATGTTGTCTTTTTTTTTTTTTTTTTCTCTACACTTTACCAGTGATACCACAATTTAAGGGGTGAAAGTTCAGTAGAAATATACGTGAAATATACGTGAGAATTATATAGATTTAAGTAAATATAGAATATTTTTATTTTAAGTATTAATCCTGTTCTTGCTGCATGTCTTTATAAGAAGAGGAAGGTTGTTCTAAATATAGGAATTGGAAGTTGATGATCTCTAATTTCTAATTTACCTTTCTTTTCTGTGTTTCTTCTTTTCTCCTTATCACTCCCCCCTTTTGGAGAGAGTTAAGTGATAGTTGCACATTATTTAATTCCCATTTTCTAAAATTTAGGATTAGATCCTGCAAATACAAATTACCAATGTATCTATTCAAATACATGTCATCAGAGTCTCTTCTTTTTAAGTATATATAAATATATTACTTCAATACTGTATCAGCTTGGGGGATTCTCACTGTCTAAGTTATAGAAGGGAAGGAAGGAAACTAACATTTATTAAATTAAGTTCGATAGCATTTATTTACTTACAAGTACTTAATACTTATATTGAAAGATTCGTGATTAGTCTTTATTTATTGCCAATTAATCTTTAGTAGGTCTTATTTGGCAATCCTATCAGATACATATTCTTTTTTTTATTTTATGAAAGAGA